GACTTTTAATCACATACATGTACGCGTGCCTCGATTCCCTATATTTTAAAATTCATTTTTGGGCAGGTTCCAGCATTAACAATGCTCCGAAATTTCAACACTATCTAGCCAAAACTGTCTGGGTAAGAAAAGCAAAAAAAAAAAAAAAAAAAAAAATTCACTCTGACTGCCCACGAACATGCATCTATACATTAAATTATAGTGATCAATAAAAATAGAGAAATAATTAAAAAAAAACGACAAAACACAGTTACTAAATAAATGACTGCCACGTGGAAATAAATTTGTTGTAATTGGTGAACGCGTCAGGTCATGACGGGGACAAGTGCGTGAATGGCGGCGTTTAATTGGATAACAAAAATAATTGAGAGCGACTCACATAAAGACAAATTCAGAGTGGATTTAGCGTGATTTTCATGATTATGACATCATATTAAAAAAATACATTGACAGCTCAAGCCCGGATTCTTATTCCGTCGATCAAGCTGCAAGTAAAGACAACAATGGTGTGAATTCGACATTCAACACCAATAACCGAACAATTCAGACACTTCAGCCTGCGAAAATAAAAACAACCTGAGGGCTGCGTAATTTCCTGTTTGTCCGACGCTTCCTTTTCGTGTCTTTATCAAAATTACTCCTACATTTTACATAACATGGGTGGTCTCTATAAAGCGATAATCAAGATCGCAAAAAAAAATCAAATCATTTGAAACACTTACACAACGTTTCTCTCCCTTCTGAAATCTGCCTCAGTGATCATGGGCTGGTCCGGAATCTATTTTTTCGGAAACGTTTTGTATTGCGCCAGGTTTAAGTTGTCAGCGTTTCTCGTTAAAACCTAGTTGTTTTGTCATGAACAAGGACAGTTTTTTGAAAAAAAGAATCTGAGGTGAAGTGGACACTACATATGACGCTGTAAGGAGGAAGTCCACCCCAACCTTTTCTCGTTATTTCCACGGCTTTCGTCCACCAATTTCGCACCTTCGGATCGATTGGAAACGTGTAAATACGTGTACTTACACTATGACTATACGCATTACTGCAACCGCCCATAAATGTTTGTTGTGAAAACAACTTCTAAAAATTCGCTCTCTCAAAAATAAAATAAAATAGACAAAAAAAGAAAAGAAACGCCGATCAAAAAATGTATATCGTTTAAAAGTATGTTGAATGACACAGTGATATAAAAGTACGGCCCAGGGGTATGGCTTCCTCTCATATTTTAGCATTTGGTGGCGCACTTTCGGCGAGAGTCGGAAATCTGTAAACAGTCGATCCGTTTCAGAATAGGTGGGCGCACAGGAAATATCTCAAATTTACTTAGATACGAGTAATCATTTTCAGCAAAAAAATCAATAACTGCCCATTTCAGTGGGGCACAGATCTAAAATGGGAAGCGTGTGGGTGGGCATTGCACAGGCACTGTAAAGAATAGAGATTATCCTTTTTTTTATTAGAACAGAAGGGTCATCACCTGCACACGATGGAATTGAGTCCTAAGTTACCATAACAACACATGCTAAAAACGCAAAGGCTCATGGGCAGACGCTTGTTTGCAAGCAAAGACGCACTACAGCCATCTGACGCATGCGCAGGTTACAACTCCCCTGCTTTAAATTAGAAAGTCAGAATTGTATCTCTAAGGGAAGTACATAACACATGGGTACTGCCTGTAGTGCCAGTATGTTTCTCTGATGTATCGTAAATGTAGATTGCACAATGTATTCTATGTGATTGTATGTGATCCTTGATGTATCTAATGCGAAATGGCATAGTCCTCATGCTCCTCATATTCAAATTTCATATCAAGGATCAGCATTGTCATACAAGTTTTAAATCCATTAAAAACATCCACTGTTCCAATTACCATAGTCAGCATGGAGGATGCCATGATGGTTGAGAATGTAAAACTATTTCAAGGAGAGAAAAAAAATTTGAGTGCTTTTCACACTCTCAATTGATATTTCAGTAGTCTGAAAATGGGGACTATTAATTTTGGTTCTGTCCATTCGTGTGTCTGTCTGGAGCCATTTCTCGGACACCCTTTGACCGATGTCATTCGAACTTGGTATACAGACAATGTATGATGACATATGCACGCCAATTTTCATAATTCGATTAAATATAGCTGACTGGCAGCCATTTTGTCCCGCAAATTTGCTAAATTCTGATGTTTAAACGTGTCCGGAACTGTTTCTTGGCGCTAAACAGGGCGATTTCCATCAAACTTTGTATGGTAATTATGCATATTGAGTTATAGGTGCACGTCACTTTTTTTTGAGATTCGGTCCAAGATGGCCGACTGGCGGCCATTTTGTTTTTTTCTGTTTTCATGCTGATCCTCCTATAAGATATGGCCTGATTCAGTTCAAAGTTTGTTCATAGGTACTATACTTCAAGATAACACAACACCATGTTTTGTTTTGATCAAATTTGTCAAAATGGCGGCCATTTTGTTTAATATCTTAAAATCAGTCTGTAACATGTCCGGAACATGTTTTGTCAAAAAAACGTAAAATATCATTCTGTAACATGTTCGAAACTGTTTCTTGGAGCTGAACAGGGCAATATTGCCTGAAGTTCAAAGTTGAATAGGGCATTTTCAATCAAACTTTGTATGATGACCTTACATATTAGGTTACGGTGCAAGCCATATTTCTTTTAGAGATACTTTTAGAGATACAATACCCAACTGGCTGCGTTTGTCTTTCATGCTATTTCCTCTGTAAGATATAGTCCAATTCAGTTCAAAGTTTCCATGTAGGTACTATACTGACATTAACACAATCTATAATCTGTGTTAGTGTTAAAAAAATATTGATCATTCATTTCTACATGTACTGAACATTTACATTGATTACAGCTAATACTTAACGGGGACTATGCATTATCAATGCTTGTCATTTAAGGTTTGTTGACGTTGACAAGTTCTTGTAGCTCATGTTTTTCTTTGAAACTTGAAACAGACAACCACAAGGAATAATTCAGCCAAATTTCAGGGAATTTCTTACTAAAAGTCTATTAGTCATGACCTTCCTGAAATTTCCACTATTGTCCTGCTGTGCCATGTGTGATATAATTTCCAATCATTGTAATCATTTCAAAATTTCATAGTCGCTTGAAATTTCAATATCTGCTATGTTATATGTTCAATGAAGAAGGTAGTAAACAAAATAATATTTCTGGTCCCAAAAAACAAGTTTTCAGATTCTACTAACTTACAAAAAAACAAAAACTCAGGTGATCACACTTAGTTCGGTGGGAACAAGGATGCTCTTCCACACCTATAGTGTGAATGTGGTGAAAGTGTTAACACGGTGTAGAAAGAAAATTATAAATTATCATTCTATTTTTCGCTATTAACATTGGCGGGTTTAAGGTTCTTGTCCATTCATTTATCAATTACGATGTTTGTGTTTTTTCTGCACATTAACTAAGCTGAAACTTGTATGAACCGGAAAGTAATGGTCAAAATAAACATAAATTGAATTTAAATCTTGCTATGAAAGATACTTGCTATATAAAATACTTCATTTTCGCTTGGAATTAATTTTTGCTTTTTTCGCTGAAGGAGTGAATCTGAGAAAACAAAATCCAGAGAA